GAGGCGGATGAGGAAAAGTAATTAGGACGATGAGGAAGGAGAAGGTCGAGGACGAACAGCAGTAGCTGTAGCGACCGGAGCAGGAGGAGCAGGAGGACCAGGGGAAGGCGGAGGAGGAGTACGGAGTTGGGCGACAATGATGAGGGACTCGCATCCAGAAAAATGGCCCGCGCTGGGGCGAGAGCACCAATCTGGGAAAAAACGCCGATCTTAAATTAAGGCCCACACTGCAGCGAGAACCGCATTTTGAAACACGGAGAACGTTCCGATTGGAATCGAATGCAGCGAAAACAATGAGATCCTGTGTGTGACAAGCAACACGCGGCAGGTGCGGGACATCTTCCGCACACAACCAGGGGAGAAGGGACAGTAGTACACGCTCCAGGCTCCACAGCCTTTGGCCCCAGGCTCAACAACCTTTGGCCGCCAGAGGACAGAGTGAGGGGTGTGATTTGCCCCAGCCGCGCCGCCCCCACCTCTCACCATCATCAGTAGCAGCAGCAGCATCATCATCAGCAGCAGCAGGATCATCATCATCATCATCATCATCATCATCATCATCATCATCATCAACAGCATCAGCAGCATCATCAACATCATCATCGTCGTCATCATCATCCTCATCCTCATCATCTTCATCATGATCCTCCTCCTCCTCCTACTCCTCCTCGTCATCGTCATCATCCTCTCCATCATCGTCATCATCATCGACATCATCATTAGCATCAGCATCATCCTCGTCTTCTCAATCGTAATCATCAGCATCCTCACCATCATCATCCTCATCATCAGCATCAGCAGCAGCATAATCTTCATCATCATCATCATCATCATCATCATCATCATCATCATCATCATAATCGTCATCCTCATCGTCATCATCATCATCATCATCATCATCATCATCATCATCATCATCATCACTATCATCACCATCATCATCACCATCATCATCGTCATCGTCATTAACGTCATCATCAGTATCATCATCACTATCATCATCCTCATCACCATCGTCATCATCATCAGCAGCAGCACAATCATCGCCATCGTAATCATCATCAGCAGCAGCATCGTCGTCATCGTCATACTCATCGTGATTATCATCATCCTACTTGGAATCATCATCATCACCATCACCATCACCACCATCATCATCATCATCATCATCATCATCATCATCATCATCATCATCCTAATCATCATCATCATCATCAGCAGCAGCACCAGCATCAGCATCAGCATCATCATCAAGATGATGATCATGATCATCATCTGTATCATCATCATCATCATCATCATCATCATCATCATCGTCATCATCATCATCAGCATCATCACCATAATCATCGTCATCGTCATCGCCATAATCATCATCAGCATCATCATCATCGTCGGCGTCGGCATCGGCCATGGCACCGGCACTGGCATCATCACCATCGTCGTCATCATCATAACCATCTTCATCGTCATCGGGCGGCACTGTCCCTCGTTCTGGTCGGCCGCATCGTGGTCCCAGAGCCCCTCGGTACGGAGAGCGCGGCCTGGCTGACGCGCACCCCGCTGTTCACCTTCTTCCTCGTGTTTCTGCTCCTCCTTGTCGTGGCATCGCTCGGACGTGTGCATTTGTCCTTCGGCGAGGGCCATCGAGGAGCATCCTTGATCATTTGGCGAAAAAACCACGCACGAAACCGAAAGAAACACAGGGAATGGACGTCCGAGCGATGGCGAGTTGTGCTGAAGGTGACCATCTTGCCGGCGGTAATGCTCATGAAGGTCATCTCCGAAGAGACTGTCCTCGACGCCCTGTTGCTGGAGCCGTTTGCCATGGCCATTCTGATGGAGGGGCCGTCTTTCTTGTTGGTGCTCAGGCTGTTCAATTCTGTTCCAGACGGTCCTGTCGCTCCTCCTGCTGATGCCGGCTGCCACCATCTTCTTGCTGGAGGCCCGTGGTCTTGGCCGACAGGAATCCCTGCTCTCTGGGTGCCCTTGCAAGAAGTGCCTGCCCTTCTTCGTCTGCCTAGTGCTTCAGCCGATCGTATGGCGGATGGTGATCATGCCGATCGTATGATTCATGCCGGTCTGGATGAAGTTGTCCATCTACGTGGAGGTGTTCTTCGTGCCGATTTTCCCGACGAAGGCTGCGTGCATGGATGTGTCGATCATCTGGATGACGCCGTTCGTCCACGCGGAGGTGTTCTTCGTGCCGAGCTTCAGGACGAAGGCGGCATGCACGGAGATGTCGATCCCTGGGGGCGCGGAGCGATGGCGTCTGGCTGGTGGTGGTTCTGGAGAGAACGGTTCCTCGCCAGCTCCCTGGCCGCCTGTGTCCGCCTTCCCTGGTGCTGTCGGCGGCGGAGAGCGCCCGAGCTGCGGAGCGTGTCGTGCTCGGGCACGGTGCAGCTCGCCTCGTCGGGGCGCCGGCTGCTTGCCGCGGTGCTGCTCGTGAGGGCCGCCCCGCGAGGGCCTTGGTCTGCGGGCGAGCCGCGGTGTGCCTTGCCCTGTCGAAAGTCTGCGAAAGAAGACATCGACGCAACTCGTGCATCGCAAGTAGCAGCCTGAGGCTGTCAATCTGCTGTTGCCAACTGCAGAGGGATGATATGACCCTCCGCACGCTGCTGGTCACCAGGCAGTTGCGTGTGATTTTCGCCCCCGCCTCCGATTTCGCCCCTGCCCCCGTCTTTCTCTCGCTCTCGGCTCGGTTCTTTGGACTCCCCGCTTGCTTTGCTGGCTTTCGCCCACCTTCTGGGGCCCGCTTCTCTGTTGCATTGCGATGCTATCGTCAAGATATTTTAGTGTAATTAGTGAAACCTTATCAAGGTCGAGACCTGGGGGTGAAAACTACATCGTCATCGTCATCATCAGCAGCATCATCATCAGCATCATCACCACCACCAAAAACAGCAGCAACAACAACAGCAGCAGCACCAGCAGCATCCTAGTTCGCTTGCGCTGCGGGCTCGGCTGTGGCGCGCGTGTCGGGTCTCATGGGGAGGGGGGCAGAGGGGAGAGGGAGGGGCGACCATAGCGGGGTAGAATAGCGAAGAGGAGGAGGAAGAGAATGATGAGGAGGAGGGGGAGGAGGAGGAGGGGAGGAGGGGGAGGAGGAGGAGGATAATAACGAAGAGGAGGAGGAGGAGGAGGAGGAGGTGGAGGAGCATGGAGAGAACGAAGAGGAGAACGAAGAGGAGGACAACGAAAAGTATGGTAAGAACGACCCACGCCGACCCCCAGTGCCACGACGACCCACGACGACCCCCGGACCCCGCCCGCCCCGCCCGACGCCCGGCGGGCTCTGCCAAGGCGGCCCCCAGACCCCCAGACCCACGACGACCCCGACACCCCCCGACCCACGACGACTCACGACGACCCCCCGACTGCCGCCCACGCCCCCCGCCCCCCCCCCCCCGCCCACCCCCTGCGTGCGTGCCTGCTGCATGTTGGCGTCAGCTGGCCGTGTTGTCTTCCCCCTCCCTCCTCTTCCTTCTCCTCCTCCCGGCCCCCCATCCATGCATGGCGCGGGCGCGCGCGCGCCAAACGGCGGGATCTGGTGGCTCGCCTCCCCGCGGCCGCGCCCTCGCCCCGGGCGCTCTCGCCGCGCGCTGTGCGCAGCGGTCGCTTCCCCGTTCGTCCTCCTCCTCCTCCTCCTCCTCCTCCTCCTCCTCCTTTCTCCTCCTCCTCCTCCTCCTCCTCCTCCTCCTCCCTCCCTCGCCCTCCTCCCCTCCAGAGCTTCTGCTGCGCGCGCACGCGGAGGGGGCGGCCACGGCCGCTCCGAGGCGGCGACGGGGGCGGACACGGCCGGCTCGCCGAGACGGCCCTGGGGCGCCCGAGACGGCCTTGTAACAGCCAAGGCAGATGTTCGATCTGGATACGCCAGCAGCTTCTGGAGCGCAAAGCTGCCCCCAGGAAGCGGTGAAGAGTTCTGCGATCGCGGATTTACATTTCATATCGGCGGATGTAAAAAAAGGAGGAGGAGGAGGAGGAGGAGGAGGAGGAGGAGGAGGAGGAGGAAAAGTGGAGGAATCGGAGCCATAATCGAATCATACGCAAAGCGTCACAACAGAGGAGGGGAGGAGGAGGAGGAGGAGGAGGAGGAGGAGGACCAGTGGAAACCCAGGAGTCATCAACGATGTTGGAATTAACCCTCCCTCCAAGTTCCCTCTTCATAGGCCCCTTCAACGGTTCATTTCCATTGAAGGAACTGCCTCGTTGGAAGACAACAGCTTGAAGATCCCGAAGCGTTCCGAAACATTGCTCTCGGGATTTCAACGCCACATATCAACCTGACTGCTGCGTCTTGGCGATCCAGAACATCATTTGTGGTATCTGTTGCGCCCGCATAATCCTGAATCCTTCCAGAACACCATTTCTTGTACGCTGATCATGGGAATCTGTGAAACTCTTGCATGGTTTACACGAATGTGCGCGGCGCTAAGGCGAGAGCCCCGTTTTGAAAAGGAGCCGACCTCAATCCGTGAAGCTCTTGCAAAGTTTTCGCTTATAAAGAATGCACCCGGCGTTAAGGCGAGAGCCACATTTCACCCGCCCTCAATCCGTGAAGCTCTTGCAATTTGTTTGAAACGAATCGAATGTGCGCGGCGCTAGGCGAGAGTCCCATTCTGAAAACGGCCCGACCTCAATCCGTGAAGCTCTTACATGCTTATAAATACGAATGTGCGCGGCGCTAAAGCGAGAGCCACATTTTGAAAATCACCCGCCCTCAATCCGTAAAACTCTTGCACATGTTTTAAACGAATGTGCGCGGCGCTAAGGCGAGAGCCACATTTTGAAAACGACCAGCCCTCCATTTGTGAAACTGTTGACACGTTTTAAGCTTCAGGGTCATAATGGTGAGGAAGTCTCAGGCGAAACGCCCGGCCCGCCCTCAAAACTCGCCTCGGGGTACGACACGGAGGAGTTATCTATAATGAGGAGGAATGGAGGAGGAGGAGGAGGAGGAGGAGGAGGAGGAGGAGGAGGAAAGGGCTGCGGCTCTCCAGGACCGCGGCGTGACACCCCAGGGGGTGTGCAAGCACAGGACCTTGCTCGCCGCTGCGCCGCCCTCGCTGCCGCTGCGTCTGCCGCTCCACCCTCGAGTGCCTTCCGCATCTCCCCGCGCTTCCGGAAACGCCCTGCGGAGACGGCTCAGGAGGGGAAAAAACACGCAGACACGATTAATCGCCGATTCTCAGGAAAATATGCAAAAATATGGGAAGTGAGGGGGGGAAGACAAAAACCCCAAAGATATGGGACAATATGGGGAATCTGTTTATTTGTGTGTATTCATTGGGCACCCGTGCCCGAGCTCGGGCGACCCAGAGGAGGCGAAGGACGGAGATCGGTGCGGCTGCTGTTTTTTTTTTTCGGGGGGGGGGGGGGTCAGCGGCGGGCGACGGGTCCTGCGATCTCACTTCCTCCTCCCTTGCAGAGGAGGGTACGTCTTGCTCCTCAGAGGGAAGGAGGCGGCCCGCAGCGCGCCTCCATCCATCTGGAGCTTACCATGCGAAACCTGTCAGCTCGACTCCCCAGCGCCCCTCAATGACACGGCGCACCCCAATAGCGGCGCGAACAGAAAAACAACAAGCCCCCGATGGCCCCCCCTCCCCCTGGAATCGGGATCGCATGACCCGCCTGCGGGCGGGTCAGCGTGCCCTCTGCTCGAGGACCCTGTCTGCAGGGCCCCGACACAGGGCTTCGGCTCTGCCGAGCTCACCCCTGCCCCAGGTGGTCATACAGTCAAAGACCCCAATAAGGACGCGCGACTTTACTCAGGGAACCCTTGCGTCCTTGCTCATCCTTGCTCTTGCGTCCTTGGGGTTTTCGTCGTCCGCCGCCCCAAAAAACCCAGCTTCGGCTTCCAAGGGTCTTGCGTCCTTACCGCACGTCCTTTATTAGGGTTTTTGACTGTAGCGGGAAGGGGTGGATGGCGCGGAGGAGGAGGAGGGGGAACGGGGCCGTCTCGCGCAGGACTTGAGTGGGCGGACTCCGGTTGTAAATCTCATGGGAGCCTTGTACATCTCGTAGTTGCGTCCCTCGAGCGCACCAGCGTCGATTAGCGTTTGGTCATCGATGAGATGGCGCCGATTCAGCGTTGATCAGCGCCGGATTAACGTCGGTTCGCATGAGCAAGCAAGATAATAGCGCGGGGTGCGGGGGGAGTAACGGGGCCGTCTCGCACCGGATTTGAGTGGGTGAATCGTGGGGTTCTTCTGGTAGGGGGCCCGGCGGGGGCGCAACGGGTTGTCGAACGGGGCGGCATGGGGCCTCCTCTGCCCCGGCGGCAGCCCAGAGCGCCCGTCTTTGCGTGCGCTGTTGCCGTCCTTCGGGAGGGGCCTGGCCAATGGGGCCTCCTCCATCGGAGGAGCCTCGCCGAGGGCTGCCGCTGCCCGGGAACCCGAGATGCAGCCCCGAGCGGTTCTTTGTGCGGGCATTGCCACGGTCCAGCCGAGGCCGCGGTCGGGCTCAAGCCTGCTCGGGAGCAGTGAGTCTCTGGTGGCCTCCATCCCATCCCGCCACCACGCCTGGACTGTAGGCCAGAGGCCGTTGGGATGGATACCTTTGGGGGTCTCGTGGGTGGCCTCTCGGAAGCCTCTCGGATTCGGTTCTGGGGTGTCGTGGGGTGGGGGCCTCTCAGGGGGCCTCTTGGGGGCTTCTTGGTGCCTGACTTGGGCCTCTTGGTGGCCTCCTGGAGCTTGTGGGGGCCTCCTGGGAACCTGCTGGCGGTCTCGGGGGCCATCTAGGGGCGGAGGGCTCGAAATATCGGTTCGTGTTCTCCCTCGGGCCTCTCTCGGGCCCCTCTCAGAGCTCTATTGACCTGTCTTGGGGGCCGCTTGGGCCGTCTTGGGGTCATTTTGGGCCGTCTGGGGGCGCTCTTGGGGGCCTCGTGGATCGTCTTGGGGCGATCTTGGGGGCATTTGGGGCCGTCTTGGAGTATAGAAAGCCAGAAAAGGCGAGAACGCTTAAATCCTTGAAGAATTGACATTCACGGATTTGGGCATCTCGGAGCCCTCCTGGGGGGCCTCGTAAAGCCCTCGTGGGGCGTGCGTCTTGCAAAGCTGTCGGGCTATCTTGAATGCCGTTTGGGCTTTCTTGGGAACTTCCTGAGACTTGCTTGGCCCGTCATGAAAAAATCACGCGGGGAAGCCCCAGAGCACCTAGGAGCGCCCGGAAGATTCGAGATTTGGGGCTCCTTGTCCCGAACTGGGGTACTTGCAGTATTGGACACAGGGCACAGGGAATTCTGGAGGACCTGGGGAACACTCCACTTCGTGCCTCGGGACACGGTGGCGGATCTGCCCCTGGACACCACTTCAGACTTGGCATCGCTCGGACGTGTGCATTTTTCCTTCGGCGAGGACCATCGAGGAGACATCCTTGATCACCTGGCGAAAAAGCCGCGCACGAAACCGAAAAAAGCACAGGGAATGGACGTCCGAGCGATGGCGAGTTCAGCACACCGCTGTCGCCACGGCACAGAGGCACTCGTTGGGCTTTTGGCGCGGTGCCGCTGCCGGGGCGCCTCGCAGTGGAGCAGGACCGGAGCGGGCAGACCGCGCTTCGTTCGGGAGCCTTGAGACGGGGGTCAATGCAAACGGGGGTCAGCCACGGCACCAGATCCTGCAGGACCCTGCGAAGGCCCCCGCTGGCTGACCCGGGTTAGCGAGCCGTTCGTGGCCGCGAGGCGGCCGCACATATTGGCTGACCCGGGTTTGCGAAGACCTGCGTTGCATTCTTTGTTTTCTTGCCTTGCAGTTTTTGGTTTTCTGCTGACCCGGGTCTGGATTGACCCGGGTCAGAAGATCCCCGACTCGTGTGGCAAGACACATCCGCCGACTCGATACAATCGGCAAGGGGAGCGTCTGGCACCAGGTGCACACGCGTGCTCAACGCCTGTCGCATGTGCTGTCGTAGCGACGAGGTCAGACGTGCCTACGGTATCCCCCAACATCGCGCATGGACTCGCATATGAAGTTGATCCCAGAGAACGGCATCCATGCCACTGTAGACCGAATTCAAAGGGGACTCGGTTTAGCAATCGGGTCAACCGACATGAGCGTCACACCATGTTCAATCCAGGCGGAGATCAGAGCACTCAAAATATTATTCCTGACGTCTGCGGAGTGAAGGGGCTGTCGGCCCCGCATTGCCTCCAGAGCCCGTTGACATGGGCGATTTAGCGGCACGATCGCTGTCGGCAGGAGCAAGCGAGTGATGGGCGACGAGAACTTGGACACCGATGCGTGTGTCAGCATTTGCACGCTGCGCTGCTATTGCCACAGTACGAGCTGCGCCGAAGTTTCGCCCCCTTCGCCTGGAGACGCATAAAGCGGCGTCGCTGAGAAGTGTCAATGCACACGGACAAGATGAGCACGTATAGCGTTTGTGCGGCAGGAGGGCCATTTGCGCGAGCGCACCATTTTCGCAACTTCTCGCCACATGTGGGCATCGACGTTTATTGCGCGCCCATCCTGAGCGCAGCGCGGGCCCTCACAGCGATCAGCTCATGACCGACCACGGGGCTGGAACGCCGCTACGCGCCGACGCCTACGACGCCAGCCACGAAGGGTGTCCTGACACGGGGTCCGCACGGGCAGCCACAATTGGCCTTCCATCCATGACCAGCTTCGGCAACGAACCACGGACTCTCAATGATGATCCGAAGCAAAGATGCCAGTTTTGATGGATTTAATAAACAAGTTGCCAGTCAGCAGCTCTAGTTCCCATCTTCCATTGGCAGGTTCACACTGGCACGAAATGTCGTCGGGCAGCCCTCTCCCCCGCCCTCGAGGCCAGTCTAGTCACCCGCGCCTGCTGAATCTGAGGCGTTGTCCCTCTGTCACGAGGTCGAATAGGAAACGTATAAAACATGTTTTCTAGTCATGCATCGTGGCAGCTCCAGTCGCCCATAATCCACCTTGTTCGAGTCCTTTTGCGATTGCACATGTGGCAGGCAAACCAAGTGGTATTTGTTCACAACAACACAGACTCTAGCCTCGAATGGTCGAATAAGGGAGAGAGAGAGAGAGAGATATATATTATATAACTAGAGAGAAACAAGCATGAAAGAGAGAGGATTGAGACATCTATAGAATGAGAGATACAGAGAAAACACATAAAAATAGAAAGAGAGAGGAAGAAAGAGAAAGAGAGAGAGAGAGAGAACATAAGCAAGCAAACGAATCATTTGTGGCAATTAGGAGAGAGTAGGAGAAGATGGGGGGAAGGCATGGGAAGGGGGGACGAGAATGAGAGTGGGACTGAGAATGGAGGGTGAGGAGGAAGCGATCGGGAGGGGGAAGAGGTGGCGGCGGAAGAGAAGGGGTGAGGGCGGTGACGGAGGAGGAGGAGGAGGAGGAGGAGGAGGAGGAGGAGGAGAAGGAGGGAAAGAGGGAGGAGGCATGGCACCCAGAGAGAGAGAGAGAGAGAGAGATTCGCTCTGCGCTGCAAGCGCTGTTGTACCGAGGAGCCAGCACTCGCACGAGCTCCCTGGAGGCACTGCGACCCGACGGCACATGCCTGCGAGCACGCGTGGGGCGGAGTCGGCCCTCCTGGAGCCGGGCGGCGTCGGATGCTCGAGAATGGCAGACCTGCGAATGAGGCCAAGGAGCAGGGCCCTCTGCCGAATGCGTGACGCATGCGGGCTGCGCCATTGGGACCTTCGGTGGAGCTCCCTATGGGGCTACGAAGCGCTGTGTTGGGTGGGTGAAACGCAGGGAGGGGGAGGAGAGGGAGGAGGGAGGACGGAGGAGACGCGGGGACCGTCTGTTCAAATCGAGGACCCAACACCACAGGATGGTTGGGAGGAACGAAGAGACTGGGGACAGCACAATCCACCCCCACCCAGGACCCCCACTCCCGACCTGGTGATCCAGGGAATCCTGGCTGGGGTTGCGAGTGCTCCGTTGGCTGCCAAGAACGCCACCCCCTCCCCACGGCCCCAGGCAGGATCCCCCGGATCACCAGGTCGGGGGTGAGAGTCCTTGCTCGGGGGGGAGGTTGTGCTGTCCTCAGCGAGGAGCCCGGCACTCCGGAGCCTTCGAGCCGCGCGGCGCGGGCGCCGAGCCGCCCGCGCAGGACGGCGCAGCTCTCGCCCGTGCCCCTGGACTTGCGGGAGAGCCGGCCGACCCTTTGGCGCTCGCGCGCGCGCCGCGGAGTCGGGCGCGCCTCCCCCTCCTCCTCCTCCTCCTCC